TTGTAGGTGAAGTCACTCCCTAGTAATGTAGCTTCGGGTTGCGGACGAACACTGGTAGAGCTATCACTGAAGGTAAGACAATGCTGAAACGGCATTTACACACAATGAAATCACCTCAGGATTTATTAAAAGATCTGACTTGACTTTCACTCCAGCGGTTTTGCTTCATAACCTACTTGTGGGCCTACTTATAGACGGGCTGCCTTGTTTAGGGTTGAACTGACAACTACTGAGACTTGAGACATGAGGCACTGCTGTATGACTTCCAGATATCGCCTGTTTATATATTTTGTTATAGTAACAGTAGTAAGGCTACACATTGTTTGAATAACAGATCTGTTACACATTGTGATATATGTGTGATATATGGATGTGAACCTCCAGATGTGTTCCTCTGGTCTTCCAGCTGTTGCTTTGTGAAGGATGCATGAGCAATGTCTGATGTTGAGGCCACGTATGCAGACTTCATCGCCTCTGGAAGGACGGGACGGAGGAATGCCCTGCACGACATTCTGCAGAGTCCAACCGACCCCGAGGGACGAGAGCTGCCTCTCACCCTGTCTCTGTCCCAGCTGCATATTAACGCAGGAGGGGGAGGTAAACTACTGGAATACAGTACTGCATTGTGTTGGGCCAATGTTATGTATTTATGTATGTGAGTTTGTTTTAGTTTGTTCTTTGGAATAGATGAATTTGCATGAGTCTTTCTGTTGATATAATGGGTTTGATGTTCACTGAGGCTTAGCTCCAAGTGCATCATAATTAGCTCAATGAATATATGTTGTGTCTCACCATCTGAAACAATTTACTCTAAGTTAGTCACGTATATACATTCTGGGCTTACAAGGAAACCAAGTTCTCTGTATTCTTCTGTTAGTCCTTCATAAAAATGTAGTTTGTGGTCCATTATTTTGAAACTGAGCAGACATTTTGGCTACACATTATTTATTACCTATGCATCATCACCATACAGTACATTATTGTAAGTCATTTCTGATTTAATGTAATCATATATAAGCTACAGTATATACAAGCAAGTTTCCATGCTGACTGTCATTTTGAAATATTTAAAACTTTGGTGGACTTCCCATTTTCACTTCATGACAGTGTGTAAGCTCTTAAGGCACCTTTAAGTTCACAGAAGCTACAGACAACGCAGTCTTTCAAAACTAAATAATATTAATTTGATGTTTCATTGTCCCTGAAGTGATAATAACATGTGTAAGGAGTTCAAATGTACCTTTTTTTAGTGGTATTGTATGCATTTGGTCTGCATAGCTTAGTACAGCAGAACTGCTGGTCTGAAACTTAAGCTTACTGCAGTCAAGACTAATTTATGTTGAGACAGACAGAGAATGTTTGCATGCAGATTGCTTAAAAATGAAAGAAAGAATTACAAGGCCAACTGCAGTGGTGGATTGTTTTCTTAAGTAAAAGTAGCAATACCACAGTCTAAAAATAGTCTATTACAAGTAAAATCTCTGCATTCAAATTGTCACTTAAGTAAAAATACAAAAGTATTAGCATAAAATATACCTGAAGTACTAAAAGTAAAAGTATTCATTATGCAGAATGGCACAGTTCACATTATATATTAATTATGTTATTACACTATTATTATTAGTGTATTATTGCATATATCACAATCAATGTTACATCTGGTAAAAGTAAAGCAAATGTTAACTACCTTATATGCTTGTGAATTTTGCACTAGGGATCAATAACGCCTTTTGATTATATTGTATTTAGTTGTATTAATCTCAGTCTGAAAAGTAACTAGTTACTCCATCCATTACCTACACTATTTAATTTGAAGAGCGTTGCAGGGGGCTGGAGCCAATCCCAGCTGACACTGGGTGAGAGGCGGTGTACACCCTGGACAGGTTTCCAGTCTATCACAGGGCTAGTAACTAAAGTTATTAAATAAATGTATTGAGTAAAAAGTAAAAATCTTTCCTGTAAAATGTAGTGAAGTCAAACTATGAAGTAGCAGAAAATGAAAATACTCAAATAAAGTACAGATACCTCAAAATTGTCCTTAAGTACAGTACTTGAGTAAGCATACTTAGTTACATTCCACCTTTGGCTGACTGAAGTAATAAATGATTCAGAATGGCTGTTACCCGATTTTCATACAACACTGACATGAGGTCGAGGGCAAGAAAATGTATTCATCAATTCAAAAAGCCAGGGAATCGTTTTGCAAATGGAGTGGTGTATGTAAAGATGTATAAAAAACCTAATATGGTATTTTTAATAATGACCTATAAGTTCCTTATTTTTTTGCAGATGGAGATGGCACTGATGACAGCCAGAGCTCGTCCTCCTCAGCACAGAGAGAGGCTGAGCAGAGGAACAGCTAACCTGCTACACACTGCTACTGGCGGACAGACAGGATGGATTCCAGTCGCCACTGTCATGAAGCTGTTTGTCCAAAGTGGGCTGGTAGCCGGAGAGTAGCACCACTAACTGCTGATGTGCCCATAAGCAGGGCATTCACACCCAGAATCTGCTGTAGAGGTTATGTGATCACTGAGTGCTCTCTTGTTCCTGTGGCTCTGCTGTGCACTAGACTGGTGGCAGTGTGCATTTCAGAGTCGGGGTAAGCAGAAACACAAATTCTGCTCTTGTAAAGCTGACTTTTCTTTCTGTCTTAGTTACTAAACATACAGGCTGGATGCTTGGAGAACACAGACAGAGACCCTACTTTAAGTGAGTCCTGTAGTAGTGTAAGCAATTTGTTCAACCACTGAGATGTGCTGATGTAATGGGTCACAGTGGGAGTAGCGTGTTTATAGAGGTAGTGATGCTGACAGAGATTATATTGCCAGTTAATGGCTTGTGCTTCCTTTAAATTGACAATACTGTAGAGGGAATTGGACCACTCAGCCGTAGTAGAGCTGGAAATCAGCATGAACAAAAACACTGGGGCTTGATTAGGCCACTGGAAGGTGCACTGTGTTCACTGATTCTGCTAAAGTGGTTGTTCCAGTCGTGTACTGTATGTGACACCAACAATACATTTACACTTAGTATGGATGACATATGTCAGTGGTTCAGTTGGTTAAAAATGATGATGGTACTACTGTGTCTTTCAGTATGTTTATACTTTTTTAAACTTTTCTAATGATGACATTATAATCACAACCCTACAGAAATAGTTTGAAATTTTTGGAAGTTGGTTTATTTGCTTTCTTGCGGAGAGTTACATGAGAAGGTTTGTACCACTCTCGTGTCAGTACAGAAAATATGTACTGTAGCTGGAATCAGCAGAAGATTAGTTTAGCTTTTCATAAAGACTGGGAGCAAGGAGAGCTGTCTCTCCTGGCTTCATCTAAAGGTAATAAAATACACCTAGCAGCATGTCCATAACTCCATTAATTAACATGATATAGTGTTTGTGTATGAATTAGCACGTTTGTTTAAAAACTAAATGTGACCGTTAGCCATTGAGGTTATGTGTTGAATAATTTCTTGGTTGTCAGAGAACCAGCAGACTTGTCGGTTATTGTTACACACTTCAGTTTTTGGGGCCAATTAAACAAATGAGCTATAACAAATTCATTAATGAGCTTTAGTTGTGCTGGGAGGATGAGTTTGTTAATTTTGTACAGAGCCAGGCTAGCTTCTCTATGCTAGCTTAAGCTGGAACATGCAGTGGTTTGGTATCATAAAGCATCTGTTGATTCCCTCAGGTCTTTGACATGTACACTGCTGTTTATAACTTTGCCGTACTGTAGGTTTCCTGGTGTTTTAAGGAGCATTCATTAGCCCACAGATTAAGTGAGTGTGTTCTTTCTTTCTTTTTATGTGTTGTTAATGAATAGACAACAGTGGACAACTGAGGTTTTTGTGTTAGTGAACAATGGTTGATTTATGATAACCCATGGATAAACTGGTTAGCTAAACTTAGCTAGTCGTTGGCTCTAGTGATATATTTAACATAAAGATGTGACAGTGGTGTCAAATTTACCATCTAACTCTCAGCAGTAAAGTGAATTTTCCCCAAAATGTCAAACTATTCCTTAAATGTAGATATGCAATACTCAGTGACGCTTCCAGTAAATGTAACATGTTGGTGTGAAAGTTTCTATCTCTGACATCATGGCTGAACTACATGTAGCCTACTTTGTATAAAAATGGATACATTCCATAATCATCATCCGTAAAGACCATCATGCATGCAGTTTTGTAACTGTATTTTGTTATTTTTTTCCTCCCCCGTTTTCCTTAGCGTAACCTTTCTCTTATCTTGATACTTGGGTGTCTCATTCTGATTCATGCTGATGACAACAGGGCAAATATAACTCTTTTTTAAAAATATTAATTCTATCAGGTTTTCAAGTTGTAAACTGCCATGGGACTCTGTATTGACTCACTCCCCCGTCAGCATCACTGTGTAAACCCAGCTGTTCAAAATTCAGCATGTAGATGTATGGCAAGTGCATGATTCTGCTAAATGTGAAGCTGTCTGTCTGTCTATGGTCATATTTTCTACTTCTTGTGTCAAATAGTAAAATAAATAACTGATGACAGTAAACTGATGTTTCACATGTTGTTGTACTTTAGCAATATGTCCAGCAGGTGGCACTGTGGGGCAACATATTAAACTTGACAATATACTGTAACATGCATTACCATCAAAATGTGGTAAAAACTCTGAAGATTATGCTCAGCACACATGTAAACAAGAGAAACATACAGTATATAAAAATATATAAAGAATATGTATATAATATATAAGGGATTGGGTGAGGTCACAATAATGTTTGCAGTTATTAAAAAAATTGTGTTGGTCATTGTTTTTAATGGCATATTGTAAAACATCTTTACTTCAGCATTACCAAATGTAGTGGGAACTTAAAGACCAAACTATCAGTCTGTCTGTGTGTGTTGCTGATTATGCAAATAATGATTAGACAATATACCAGGAAGTTTCAGTAAGAAAGGAAAACCCCCAAACCGTATCTCTAAGTTCCTCATTCTGGTGTCTGTGCAACAGTCTATGTCATCTAGCGGAACCACTGGTCAAGCAAAATTCCACTTGTTGGTCTGTCCATTAGTCTTTAAGTCAGACAGAGACCAAATCTGAGGACTAAAAGACTTCTACATTGTGGAAAAACTGTTCCATTAACCAGGACTACACAGTGAAAGAGGTAAGCAAAATGCATGTGGATGAAACCAGCAGCCACAGTACACACTAGGGAAGATACTAAATTTACCTTCACTTATCTGTGGTTTTTATCAGTCCATTTCAGAAAAAGTATGTTATTGTTAGATTTTGTTGAAGTATAAAAGACAGTTTTACCCTCAAGTTACTGTGTGGATGGTTTTATAAAGTGTTGTGGATTTGACCTACACTTCTCATTAAAATCATGCTTTGAAAATAATAAATCACCAGTTTAATGTCATCTGATGTAGGTTTTAGGTGGCATAACAGTGAGTGTGATCAGATTCCGTAGTAACTTGTATCAAATTTCACTTTTTCTGTTCATCTCTCAAGTCTTTGGCTCAGTCCAAATCCATTTGTGCACTGTACCATCCCTGCCATCTGAATATCTTTGTGGACAGTAACAACTACTTTTGCATACATTTACTTAAAACTGTATTATAAACCATAGTTCCTTAGGAGAGGTGGAAAAGGTTTTGTGTGAAAATGTATTATGCTGCTGTTAGAGGCCATTAAACAACAGGTTTGAATGGTTTTAACATGAATATATGTGGTCATTGCTACAGATGTACTGTTAGAGGTGGCATCTGGCATTCATGTTTCCACACAGGACTTTTTCAGATGCTGTCATTGCCCAAATAGGTTTATATTATGACCATCTGTTTTACTTATTTCGGTTTTGTTTCTGAGAAAACATGCTTTGTCTGCAATTTTGTCATGGTGGACAGGTCTAAAAACTACAGTAACCATGAAACTCAACCACTGTTGCCAGTGGTGCAAATCAGAGCGGCAATGAATTCAAAATCATAGTTTGTGTTGCTGGATTTACCTGGAGCTGGTCCATATTTTAAAGTGAATTGATTTAAGGTCAGACTGTGCTTTCAGTGTTCTCAAACCATCATCTTTAGCTTCCACATGTCATTACGTCACTTTATGGTCAGTTTATTCTATGATGGAGTCCTGTAAATAAAACAGAAAAATTACCCATGCAAAGTTAAAGCTTTGACATAATAACAACAACATCCCACTGATATGAGTTATTTGCTGGAAAGTCACAGTAGAGTACTTCTACTTTTGATGTTTTAAATGAATTTGTCTGCTAATACTTGTATATGTACTTTAACTTACAGTAAGTAGAACCATGAATGCAGGAACTTTACTTGTAATGGAGTATTTTTAAACTGGGATATTGATGGTAAAAGATCACACTGATATATCACACCTGATGATGAAAGCACAGAGAAAACAAGAGCAAAAAAGAAGCATTTGGACCTCTTGTTCTAGAAACATATCTCTGAGCTATTTTTACTCCTGCTCATGCTGTGGCTTCATGATCAGATGGTGAGTACAGAGCAGACTGTGATTTACAAATGATATACCTAACAATCTAGGCCATAGCATTACAGTTTTTCTCTATCGCTTTCATTCATTTCTCACAACAGAACTGCATTTCTCAGAACTACTCGTTCAACCGTCAGATTCTGTTTTTTTTTTATTAATTAATTCCAAGCATGTAATAAAACAGAGAGAAACAGAGAAAAAAAAAAAAAAAACATGTAAC